GCAGATGGGACCAGCCCCGTGTAGCTGGCCAGGAGTGCAGAGCTGGGAGGTGGGGGTGGCAGGTGGGACCAGCCCCGTGTAGCTGGCCAGGAGTGAAGAGCTGGGGGGTGGCGGGGGGGGCAGGTGGGACCAGCCCCGTGTAGCTGGCCAGGAGTGCAGCGCTGGGCGGGGGTGGAGGTTGGGGGCAGGTGGGACTCAAGTCCAGAGGGCTTCATCCTGAAGACAGAGCTAGGCCTGGAAGGACTCCGAGTGTGTAGTGACATGATCACACTTGCCTTTCAGAATGATTGCTGTGACGCAAGCACAGAGAAGTGGTTCGTGGGGAGGGGCGGGGCGCAGACGCCCCGGTCCAGAGGTTGCCACAGCAGGTTGAAAGTGAGGTGACGGAGGCCCTGGCCCCTCGTGTGCCGGCAGGGGGGTCTCCTCCGCCTGCAGCCCTTAGTCGGCTTGTTCTCCCCGGACATCCTCTCCAGCCCCAAGGTCCCTTAGTGGGGTGGTCTCAGTTTTCTACAAGGAAGGTGTGCTTTTGGAGAGGAAATTATTTTTTAAAAACCAACTGATTCATTAAAGGTTTTATGGCCGCTCTGGGTTTTTTTGCATGCTGCTTAAGTGATGTTCACTTTTTCATCCATTCTCTTCAGGTACCTGTGGAGCATGTGCTCTGTAGCAGGTACTGGTCCAGGGGCTGCAAACAGAGCGCTGGCCAGGGCAGGAGAGGCTGTCTTGTCCTGGAGTTTCTCAGCGAGTAGGAGAGAGAGATGTCGCTGAAAAGAAGCACAGGGCACGTAGTCCTCCCTCAGGGCGGATGCTAGTAGTTTCTAAGAACCACGTGTATGTTTCCCCTCCAGTGCGACCTATCCATTCCTCCACATCCAGCCCTGCCATCTCCATCCACGAAGTGGGACACACTGGAGCCACCAAAACTGAGAGGAGTGGCATTAACAGGCTGAGGAGCGAGATGAAACAGGTAAGACAGGACTCTTGGTGGCAGTGCCGGGAAAGAAGTAGTTTTCATGCCTGGGCTCACCTCAGAAAGTGCTAGAAACCCAGGGCCTGCAGGGTGCTCTTTGTATAGGATGTGAGATCCCTGCTGTCCTGAAATCTAAACACAGTCTACCCAGATATCTAAGAATTCTGTGAACATTCCGGAAAACACCCTTACCCGTGTTTGTCTCTATTGCCGAGAACCACACTTTCTTGGTGGTGGGCCACAGCTATTCCAAAAGTAGAGTCGTGCAAGATGTCACTGAATCATCTCACCATGAAATGTGTCCTTCAGATGACATAGCAAGAAGAAGGTAGAAATAGAATAGAATGCTCATGATACCTGTGTTTGCCACCATCCATGGGTGTCTCTCTTCTTGGTTCACTTTTTACTTCACGGTACATTCCATCTGAAGTGACCCCCCCAGGACCGCAAAGCCGCAGCGCTTCGGAGTCCTCGTGTGCCGGGGACGGGGCTAGGACTTGACCGATCTATAGGAGGAAGCATGGTCCTTCTGACCATGACCCGAGTGAGAAATGAACTCAGATTCTCTTCTCCATTTCAAATGATGACTCAGTAGATTGAGTCCCTGAGGCGCCTGTGGGTCACACCCAGCAGTTGGGCCAATACTTCCCTGGATTTTCTAGAGGGTGATAGAAGTAGGGCATCCTTGATTTGAAACTGGCTTTTTTGTGTGTCCTGATGTATTTTTACTTTCAGATGACTAAGCGATTTAGTGCTGGTGACCAGGTGAAACATTGTCTTTTTCCGTCCTTCACGTGTGTGCTTCATGTTCTTTCTGGCTTGAATGTGGAGAGCAAGACCGCGAATATGGAGAGTGATGGCCCGGGGAGTGGTTTTGCCCATCAAATCCGCTTGGGTGGAGGTGACTCCTCGGCTGTGGCGGGCAGGCAGAGCAGGAGAGACGGCCTTCCACACGCCTTTAAAAAATCCATTTATCAAGCTTTTGGGTTTTATAGGATGATTTGTGAGAGAGGTGGTTCTGGGCTCTGCCTTGCCAGGAGTTTCTATGCAAAAAAAGGGAAGTAAGTAGGGGAAAGTAAAACGTGGTCATTGATTACATGAATAGAAAGAATACTGCTATTCCTGTCCTCACATTGCCCGGGGGGGGGGGGGGGGGGGCGGGGTGTGGACTTTAACCCTGGAAGGAAAACAGTGTAAGGATACTGTTCTTTCCCAGTACCTTCGGGACCCGCTTCTTCCTAAGCACTCCTGTGACTGAGCAAGTGTAGAGGAGTTGTGGAGTGACATACAGCTTCTCTATGTTGTCTCTGCGGCTACCTTAGGCTCTTTCCAAGTCAGGAACCCACTTTCCAAACATCTTCCTTTGCTAGCCACTCGGTGGCACCATACCCCGATCGTGGCTCACTGTGGGTGACTATGGGTGGCTCCTTCTGCCTCCATTTAATACTGTCCTTGTATATTACGGGGACAAAATGATCTTCTTTGCTAGGTTTAGATTCAGCCAGTACAAGTTTTATATTTGGCCACTTACATCAAGGAAATATATTATTCTCTCTCCCAAATTTTAGAGATGCCTTGGCATTTTAAATTTCGACTCTCTTTTTGCAAGCACACCACGGGTGCACAGTTTGTGCTCAGGCACTATTCCCATGCCAGGTACGGATACATTATAGATTTTTAGATGAGGAAATACTTGTTTGGCCAAAGGTCATCAGCCTTCTCTTACTTGTTCGTTTAATAAATATCTATTTAATGCCAGTAGGGGCCAGATGCTAAATGCTGGTTACGGGCAGGTATTTTATTGATCTCTACAGATTTTCACAACTCTTGACATAAAAGATTAGCATTTTGTGGCTAGGACTTTAGAAAATAGTGTCCTAACTTGATGAGACACCTCCACATAGGACTAGAATGGGTAACGTTTCATACTCCCGAGAAAGAGCAGTTCCCAAGTCCTCCATGGCACAGAGCCCCGAGCTCTGCGCTGCCTGGTGCCTGGGGCTGTTCGCCTGGACGGTGAGTGAGAACTTCTGCCCGCCTTGCCGCCTCTGCACCTTCTTGCCGCGGGGGTTCTCAATGCTGTTCTGTGCTCCCCCTCTCTGCTTGCGTCCTTTGGGGTCACTGCACGTGACTGAGTGGACTCTCTTTGTTTTGTAGCTGTTTTCTGTGAGCCAGGCCGTGTCCAGCAGTTCGCGTTCCTCCAAGTCTGCGGTAAACCACGCATCCCGACTGCCCTCCTCACCGCCTCCTCGTTTGTGGTGTCTGAGTCCTCTTGTTGCCCTTCTCGTGCACCCACCTCATCCCTAACTCCCACAGCTTTGAACAGGTTTAAGTGTTTTCATGTGACTGTCATTATGAAGAGGGTCTAGAAGGAAAGCCAAGAAGTTCTTGATTTGAGCTTTGTCCAGGAGCTTCTGGAACCTTCGGGGCATTGGTTCTGTGCCTTTCTTCTGAGCCGGGGTGGTGAGCCACTGCCTGCACGTGCTGAGGAGCACCTTATATTCCCAACACCCTGGCTTGGCTTGAGGCCCCAGATCAAGTGCAGGAGTAGGAAATATTCTAATGGCAGAAGCGAGTCTTAATCTTCCTCTTGAAAGTAGAAGGAGAAAACCAGCTGAGTCATTGATGAGTGCGGCTGTAATTACTTTTATTTGTATCTAATTGTTGCCGTATTTAAATGGCAGTAATGAGCCCTATGGAATAACCCAGCCTAACAGCCTTTTCAAAATAAGATCCGATGAAGTCAAAATGAGTACCTAGGGAGAACTCCTGCCTCCTGCCCTGCTAGCATGCTTACCATTTGGATTTCATTTTTAAACCTTTAAGTTTGATGTTGTGCATTGAGAAATGAAGGTACGAGATAGTTCGGAACAAGATAACATGGAAGGATGCAAGTTACCCTCTAATGCCCTGTAGACGGGCAGGTTAGAATCCATCCTCTGGCAGAAAGCAGGCTGTGAGCTCTGCTGCGGGGAGGGGTGCGGCATGGCCTCGGCCCCCCCACCCCCACCCCCACACCGAGCCAGCTCGGCTTTCAGGTCCTCTGGGAGCCTCTGTGAGCTGCATCTGCAGTCGTGGGCGGGCCCTGCCCCAGCACCTGGCTCTGGAAGGCCAGAATAAGGCCAGCCTCAGGCCAGGAGGTGGGAACGAGATGACGCGCTCCCTCTGCTTCAGCAAAGCCCGTGTTCTGGCTCGGCGGCCGCCATCGGGCCCGGTGAGGATGGAGCCCCATGCTGAGAACAGGCGAACAGAGGGATTCAAAGGCACTGGTGGATGTACCGTCATCTCGGAGGCCCCACTACTAAATAAGGATTCCCAGCCTTTACTGTTTGTCTTTCCCTCCAGAGCAACCCCTCTCCCCCTTCCCCCATATTATGTGCTGCGTTGTCTGCGGCACCTGCAGTACAGGGAGGTGACCCCTGCCCCCCTGGGGCACGGTGCAAGGCAAGTGGGCACCTGGGCATTCATCGGCCTGGGGGCTCTCTCGCAGCCCTCCTGCAGCAATGCCAGAGGGCCTTGGTCGGGACAGCCGTGTCCCATGCACACTTACCACAAGCCAGGCGTGCTTTCAAGGTTTTCTGTATCTTCATTCAGTGAGTGCTCACGGCTCCCCGAAGCAGGTGCGCCTGTGACCCGTTGTACAGGGGAAGCCGAGGCCCAGAGCTAGTGTTCGGATGGATGCAGCGGTGTTGACTTGGGAGTCACAGCCTGACCCCAGGGCCCGCACTCTCCCCTGCTTGGTCTGCCCCGTGAGGTCAAGGTCCTTTGATGTTGTACTACCTCTCGAGGGCTGGAAGGAGGGCACAAAAGGAGATCAGTAACCAAACCCGTACAGAATTAATCCAGCTTCCAGAAGTGGCCAGAGTTAAGCCAAGGAACGATGTTCCTTTCTGAGCAGGTGGTCTGTGTTTTGACGAGTTTGCTGAGTCGTCCCTCAGGCTGGCCAGCAGTCCCGTGGGATACCGGCTCTGAGGTTCCTAAAGACGGCGCGCGGTCTGCCTTGCAGAGGTGCAGCACCCCATCCTCGCCCACCGGCACTTCATCATCAGACTCAGGCGGGCACCACATTGGCTGGGGGGAGCGCCAGGGCCAGTGGCTACGCAGGAGAAGGCTGGACGGAGCCATCAACAGGGTCCCTGTGGGATTCTACCAGAAGGTGTGGAAGATCCTTCAGAAGGTAAGCTTGGCCACTGTACTGCATTTCACTGGCCTTGTCGCTGCGAGCACACACTCCTAGGGAAACGAACCACCCCCTTAATTCCCTTGTGAGGCATGGTGGCACCTGCAGGTATTAGCGTGTGGCCGCAGAGCCCGCAGATACGGCTCCCGAACTTGGGGAGCCCCCAGCCTAGAGCAGGGTTTCTTCACCTCTGATGTCTGGCACCACTGACATTCGGGGCCGGGTCATTCTCTCTTTGTGGGAGCTCTTCTGTGTATTGTGGGATGTTAGGCAACATCCCTGGCCTCGACCCACTAGATGCCAGTAGCACCCCCACGCCCACCCCTAGTTGTGACAATCAGAAATGTCTCCGGACATTGCCAAGTGTCCCCTGGGCAGCACACTGTCCCGGCTGAGAACTGCTGGCTGAAACCACAGCAGGTTAGATCGGGCGGCAGCCCAAGTTGTGTGGGACCACCTTTGACGTATTTCTGGAACGTAGAAAAGTCAGAAGATAGACAAAAACCGGAGAAGGCGGGGAAGGCTTTTGGATGTGACGTCGGCGACCTGCAATGGCGGCCCCAGGCCTTAGCTTCCTGCGTGTTCAGGGCAGGCGTGGTGTCCACACCATTCAGCAACATGACGCGGACACCTCCTGTGTCTGCAGGGCACCGTGTCAGGCCCCAGGTGCTCCGAGGCACAATCCCCACATACCTGGGGCCGCCTCTGCCTCTCCACCTAGAGGATGCGGACCCCAGACCCACTCCCTTTAGCCAGCTGTCCCCTCTGCCTGTGGCCATCCGACGGGGCTGCATCTCCCAGCGGCCTGGGGCCGTGGCGGTATCAGCGGAGGTCATCAGAAGCCACAGCCTACACTGCACACACCGGAACACAGCAGAGTCCGCCTGCGCGCGTGAGCAAGGAGGGGACAGCGGCGAAGCCACGCCCCTCTGTGCACCCCACCCCCGCCCAGAGCACTTGTGTGTCCCCCGGGATCCCCGCCCCCCGGCTCGTCTTTCCTTGCACCCAGGCACGGACTGCCTCAGTTAAAAGCTTCGGTGCAAATTAAGAACCAGGGGTAGTACTGGGTTTTGTTTCTTTGGTTTTTTTTTTTTTTTAAACGATTTTTGTTAGCTCATTTCACCACAGGAGAGGAGAGGAAAGTCATCCCGAAGGAGCACACACTACAAGCCCCTTCCCAAAGGCACAGCACCTTTCGGCCGTTTTGTTTCTGGGGCCGGGGCCCCTGGTCCATTAGGGAGCTTCAGCATCTCTGCTTTGTGGGGACTGAGGTCTTCACGGCGCTGAGCACGGGGAGGTCAGGATGGTCCCTGTCCTCATGCAGCTGGTCCCCACACGGCAGCAGAGCGCACGAGAGCCGTTCTCCGCCTCTGCTCACGAGGCGCGGGCATTTGCCGCCACCCTGTCCTCAGCCCGCCAGGGCCCTGGGATTTAGCAGGCAACCAATTCGAATTAGACTAGAACAAACTTCCTAGAAAACCTCCCCACTCTTCCTGGGGCATCATATGCTTCCATCCAGACTTCTCCTAGTTCAATACCAAGACACTTTTATTATGAAAAAGCAGCATTTTGTGTCGAGCCGGCACTTGATATTTATATACAAGGGTGTGTGTGTGCATGTCTGTGCATGTGCTCGAGTCTTTTGTGATTGGTGCTTATTATAGTAATCTCAAAATAGATCCCTGCAAAGGCACAGAAGTATCACTTCGCCAGCAGGAGCCATGAAAATCTCCCTTTATGTGGCACCAAAGGGGGCCTCGCAGCCGCCAGGGCCTGGTTGCCAAGTGAAATGCGGAGCTTCCACAGAGGAGGACCCAGCAGCTCCCCGGGGCATTATTCGTGCACGATCTGAAAGATGCCTGCTGCCTCCCTAGAATTGCTCCATCGAAAACACAGCCTGTGGGCAGTGAGAACAAGCTCTCTAAAAATAACGCTAGCAGTCTGGCGTGTTCAGCCCTCATGCAGGTTTCCAGAGCAGAGGGACTTGAGTGTGTGCGAACGTGTGTGCACAGTTACTAACCAGGTTCTGGAATCTGACTGAACCGTGCTGTGTGTGTTCTGCTTCCAGTGCCACGGTCTGTCCATCGATGGTTACGTGCTCCCATCGTCAACGACGAGAGAGGTATGACGGGAGAACGCCAGTGCCCACCTCCTGCGGGTCTCCCCCCAGTGCTCTAGGGCGTGCTTCCCACCTTTGTCAACATTGCCTTTTCTTTGGCCCCTCAGAAACTGCGTATCTGACTGTCAAGAGCCTTACCTTTGCCCTTTAAGGCACTATTAAGAGAAGAGGGAAGCTGCACGCCCCACACGTTGGAGCCTTGTGCAGCCTCCTCCGGCCCCCTCCGCCGAGAACAGTCGTCTTTCTGGTTTCCCTTCCCCAATTCATTCTTTGACAGACTGAGTACTTAGTTTTTACCCCGCCCAAGACCCAGTGCTATATGCCACAAGGAGCGATGAAGAAAGAGGAATAAGCAAAGGGCCCTGTCCCCTGGATGCCCCAGTCCAGTGGGGTGGGTAAATCAAGTTAGGACGAGGCCAACTCCACCCCCCCCCACCCCCGCACCTCGAAGTTGTCGGCCTCCCGCTCCAGAGGGTTCTGGCTGGTGGCATCGAGAATGTGGCCAGAAAGGAGGCAGCATTTGGGCTGAGCCCTGGAGCCACTGGATGCCGTGGCCAGCGCTGGGAGCAGGGCTGGCTGTCCTCGGCTCCTTCCTGACCCTTCCGCCGGTCCCTTTGGCAGATGACCCCCCAGGAGATCAAGTTTGCCGTCCACGTCGAGTCGGTGCTGAACCGCGTGCCGCAGCCCGAGTACCGACAGCTGCTGGTGGAGGCCATCATGGTGCTGACGCTGCTCTCAGACACCAACATGAACAGCATCGGGGGCATCATCCACGTGGACCAGATCGTGCAGATGGCCAATCAGCTGTTCCTGCAGGACCAGGTGGGTGTGCCCAGGCCCGCCCAGTCACCCCCCAGCCGAGACGGGGACAGAGGCAAGGTAGCAGGCTGGCTGGCATGTATCTCTGTCAAGGCTGAGGATTCTGTATCCAGTAGGTAACACTATTCTCAAAGAAAATGTCATCACAGATGGTGAAAAAATGTCAACCGTTTGGTTAGAAAATGGCACAGTGGCCACTTGGGAAATGCAAAGATCTTTGGAAACGGACAGACTCATTTTGGCATAGGTTTGGCATACGTTTGTGCCGGCGTTGAGGTAGAAGGAACCGTCCTCTCGTTACAGAGTCGGTAACGCACTGCGGATGAGGGCACGCGGGAGCACAGTGTAGTACCCGGAGGAGAGGCTGGATGTCACCCCCGGGCACTCTGGGCTCCTGCCCTTGGGCTTAGAGCCCTCCTCTGGGGGCTGTTGGCTTCCAGCACATACGGTCATCCCAGGGCTTGAGAGGGAACTCTGTTCACTCTTTGCCTCTTTTCCTGCTGCAGATGTCAATCGGAGCCATGGACACCCTGGAGAAAGACCAAGCCACAGGCATTTGCCACTTCTTTTATGACAGTGCTCCAAGTGGCGCTTATGGGACAATGACCTACCTAACGAAGGCAGTGGCTTCTCATTTGCAGGAACTGCTGCCCAGTTCAGGCTGCCAGATGCAGTAGGGCCTCGCTGCTGTCAGTCTGTCACTTGCCCCCTAGCCTCGTCGGGAACCTTCTGTTCTCCAAGGTCCCCTGTGTTGGCACAAAAGCCTGTCCCATCAGAAACCCTGGCTGGGAGGAGGTGGCAGCAATGGACCTGAAACCAGTGTGTGTCCAAGCCACAGAAAGAGCTGAGGAGTCCTGTGCTCCCCCCCGGGAGTGCCAGGGGATTGCTGTCTAGGTTCGCTTCGCTGTAACATTTGCTGCAACATCTGGCCTCGGAGTCTGAAGAGGAATTGGAAATTGGTCTCTTTTGAGGGCAGTGTGAACAGAGAAACCAGCTTAAATTGGCTCTCGCTGAGAGCTACTGAAATCAGTCGGATGTGCTAGTGGACACATCTAAAGATGGGAAGATCCTTCCAGCAGCGGGCATGGACCTTGACAAGGGGAACATCTTAACAGGATGCAGTTGGTCTGTGGACCAAACGGTTTACCAAATAGAACAACTCTATCTTTCTGTGGAAGTTTGGTTTTCTTGTGCCTTGTTTTCTTTCTAGGGCTCGTGTTGTTTTTTTGGCGTAGCTACCTGTGTGCGACAGCATCCTCTCTTGCCGAGATTTAGAAAACTGCTTGCAGTTAACTTTGGCTTGTGGTCTCAAGGATTTTATCCTGGCGCCTTATGAATTAGAGATTTCTTCTGCCTTATAAAAAAAAAAAAATCCCACATCTTCTGGAATATAGCACAAAAAATAAAAAGGCAGGGGAGGTGCCAACTCTCCTTATAGCTGGGCCAACTGTTGTTTGGGGGCTGGAGCAGCAAGGGAGTCCCTCTGGAAGGCCTGTACCCCCTACCCCCGCATGGGGTGGCCACCGGAGGAGTACACGGTCCCAGATGCCCAGGAGAGGAGTGGTGCGCACAGAGCCATTCCCTTAGAGGCCTGGAATGTCGAGCAAGGACAGATCCTCATAGGGCAGGGCCTCGCCGTCTCTGGCCAATGTTTGCAATGTTTGGTGAATGGAGTGTCTCTCTAGGCACTGTCTTACCTGGGGCGGAGGGGGGGCGTGGATGGGACAACAACAGGGAACAGTTTGTGTGAATGACGGACTTAGGAGGCAAGCCGTCGCCCGGCGGTTAAATGGTGAGCTCCAGCTGCTGGAGGGTGACAGGTTAGATTTGTGATGACTCTGCCTCTGAAGTGGGAACGTGGCCACTAGATCATTGTTGGCTCAGAAGCTTATGTGAAGGTGGAGAAAGTGGATGCTCTAGCTGCTTTGAGGGGACACGGAGGTGCCGGGTGCCCGGCGGAGCCCAGATGCAGTACTGATCCTTATTCTTGAAGCAGGAGAGGCAGGGTGGCCTCATGTTCCTGATACTTCCTTGCTAAAGAGCCTCTCTTCAGGCTGAGCCCCAGGGAGAGAGGGTCTGGAAACACAGGGCTCAGTGCTCCTAACCTGGGCTCGGTGGCACACATGCGCCTTCGGGACCTTGTTTCCAATTCTTGAAAGCACGGTGCTTTCTTTGCTGAGGCACGGGGTAGTTACATAAAGAACCACCCCAGAATCCATCAGTTTCTGCTCCCGCGGACTTCTCCTCCCCTTCTCTTCTTTCCCTTCCCTGTTCACGTCAGCACACGTTGCACACTTTCCGTGCCAGGTGTGGGAACACAAAGCTACAGGAGATGTGACTCGGCGCTCGAGGACCTCAGCCCGGCAGGGAAGGCAGAGTGCGGCGGGGGCGGTGGCCGAGACCCAGTGCCGTGGGACCGGAAGGTGGGGCCTGCCCGCAGCGCTGGCGTCGGAGCCAAGCTCAGAGACCGTGCGGGCCGCCTGGCCTCCGGCTCCTGCCCACGCGGCACATGGCCTGGCCTGGCGCCATGCTCCCCCACGCTCATGCGGTGCTTTCTGCTCGTGCCCCATCTTTCCTGGGAGGCCTGTCTGGTCCCGTGCGCCTCCGAGGGTCCGGGGCTGGGAGGTGGGCCCGGCTAGCCTGGTTTCACAGTAGCAATTTCATAACCTTTATTTTTGGGGTCTTGAAAACATGTCTAGCATGGACGAAGCTCACGTAGTTCACCCGATCGACTTCCTGGAGGATCGTTTCAAACGCAATGTAAGAAAGGCACAAGCTGTGAAAGTCGCGGTTGCTTCTTGGGAGAGAAAGCTCAAGAAGAGTTACAGCCCTCCAGAACGAGCCAGATGCTAATTTAGAACATCACCTGCCTGATGACGTGCAAAACCGCAGATGCCGCGTTCGGGCTCACCAACGGGGATGCGGGCCGGGAGGAGCGCCATAATAGGCAGCTCAACGGAGCCTTCGAGTCACTCTTTTGAAGCCTCTTTCAAATGAAATCCTGAAATAGTATTGCATTTCCACAGGCATCAAGCTGTCAGCTTCAAAGAAGGAGAACAGCCTTCCGAGGCTTGATCCCTTTCACGAGCAGCTGAGGCCCACGCCGCAGAGAGGAACAGATGCTCGAGGGGGATGGCAGAGGCCCCATGCTGCCACCATCCCGGCCCCGGCCCGCTGGGCTTCCACGCCAGGAGGGCGCGGCCGGCGGCCCCTGCTGCTCGTCCCTCTATCCTTCCGTAGAGCAGAAAGGCCGGTTTTGACCTTTACTGGGCCTGGGAGGTAGCATATTCTTTCTCCGAGCCAGGAACAAACATTTCTTTTAACATCCGTTGAAAATCTGTTGGCCGCCGCACCTGCTGCTCACCTTGGCTTTGACCCAGGTGAAGCCAGCAGCAAGGACGAAGGTTCTGTCTCAGAGTCAGACTGGCCTTCCGGCCCGGCTCTGTGACATGGGGGTGAGTGACGTAGCCTCTGTGCACCCCAGTTTGCCCATCTGTCAAAGGTACACAAGGCCTGCAGACTGGCACGGGACTAAGTGTGAGGGAATCACAGGGATCCCCTTCTACTCCCTGCCTCTGGCAGTCAGAGCCTGGGGCTCCCCGTTCACAAGAATCCGGATTTGCCCGATGGCAACCCCCAGCCAGGCCAAGGGCCAGAGACATACGGGTCTCCAGGTCATGCCCGTGTCTCCTGGGGTGGGCATCTGTCAGTTTTCTGGGGCCTAGTGAATGGAAGGAGATTGTTACACATTAGGTGCCTAAATAGAATTTAAATGCTCCCTGTGTTTAAAAAAAAAAAGACCAGAAGATCAGGAGGCAAGAGAAACAGTTTGTCAGCTGATTGATGCCATTTATTTCTGGACAAGACGACAGGCGGCTCAGCCTTCCTTGATGTAAATTATAGCAGAACCATCGTTCAGTTCTATAGACCCGCGTGCACAAATCTGGCAAATAGCTTTTGTCTTCCCTGCTTCCTCGTTGTCAGAGGGTACAAAAGTCTCCCAACCCCTCGCCTTGGTGCCACTATCTCTCAAGGTGACTCTTAACGCTTTTGAAGCCCCTGCCATCTGTTGTGCGTGTCTCTACTCTTTGCATGCTCCCAGAATGCCTCTGTTCGCCCGGACTTGACCACTGATTCCTCTGCTTGCCAGGGGAAGGTAAAGCCGCGCTGTCGCCCTCTTAAAGCCCAGGGCCCTTGTCCCCCTCAAAGCCATTCAGGAAAAGCCATTGGGTTAACCAAGAGTTCTCTGAGGCATGAGAAGAACTGAAACCACCGGAGACTATTCTGGAGTCTAACACACGGAGTGTCTGATGGTTTGGGAGAGGGAACAATTCCACCAGAAAACAACTGTGTGTGTGTTTTTCAGGAACATATGTGCAATTTCGGCAAAAACGGCTTCTCAGACGGAGTGGGGTAATCGGAACCAGTGAACTCTGAAGTCACGTGACGCATCCCTCCGCCTTACTGCAATCTGCCAGCTATTCTGAAACATGAGTTGCTCAGAAAGCATTTACTGTGGCCTACTTCAGGCCGGGCGTTGCTCGGCTCGCAGGAATATGGACAAGCGCGGGGGCTGAAAAAACGCCGCTCAGTCGTGAAGGCCTCTGCGGAAGGACACTGCCCAGCCTCCTGGGATGCCTTCCCGCCACAGGCCTCCCAGGCCACCCCCTAGTTGTCCGTTCTGTCTCGGGAACGTGTGTTGCAGAGAGGTTTGCTGCTGGGGAGTGGGGGTGGGGGGGGTGGAGCAGGGCGGTAGCTCAGGGCGGAGGGGAGAAGGGTTTCATTGTACAGCAGCTCTGGGGGGGGACTGTGTCTGGGAAGCGGAGGGAAGGAAGCAAATGCCCAAGACGGACCTTCCTCCACTCCTCCTGAGACGCCAGCAAGCTCCCGGAGCACCCCTGCTCTGCGACCGTTCAGGGGCAGGAATCGGGGAGCTGGAAAGGAGAGGCCATCCGATGACTGAGGGGCGCTGCCCCCGTCTCCGGCCCCAGACCACCTGTGGGCGAGCGCGCGCGCGCCTGCGCACAGCTGTCAGCCTGCCTCTGCCTGCGCCACGTCCGGCGCGGGGGGCCCACAGCCCCGTGTGTCGTGGGCGGCAGGGGCGCCGAGGCTGGAAACCGTCCCCAGGGCTCGCCTTCGGGCAAGCCTTTGCCTGCTCCCGCCTGCCCTCGCAGAGAGGCTTCTCCCCGTCCCCAGCCCAGAGGGCTCAGACCGCAAGCACCCGCCCGCCTTTCAAGTCGGGGCCTTAGAAAGCACGGGAAAGACTGGGGCTGAGGCCTTCAGGTTCTGCAAATCGCTCAAAGGCTTCTTCCTCTGCACTTTAAATAGATGTGCTGTGCTGAGTTTTAAATTTGACACATCTCTTTTTTCGAACTTAAAAAAAGCACAATGGAAAGCAAGCAAGCAAGCAACGTAGTGACTCATCCTCGGGAGGAAGGGAACGGCTCCCTGATCAGAAGCAGTGGTTAGGGGAACGTTCCAGGAGACTGCCAGGGGTTGTGCACCGTCAAGGCGAGAGAGTGGAAATACGTCGGGAACAGGTGAAGCCCACAGGATTGGCTCTGAAGAGTCCCTAGAATAAGCGTCTTCTGAGGGTCTTATTTCTGGGCCAGCCTCGGGTGTCTTGGAAAGACAGAGGAAGGTGGCAGAGATTTCCAAATGTACATCCCTCAGATATTGGTAAAGAACAACCTATCTTCCTCATACCTTTGCTTAGTTACTGGACCACTGTTAGCACCAGGATTTTACAGATGGGGAAACTGAGGCTCAACAGGCATGTGGCTTGCATAAATTCTCCCACTTTAGATCCAGATTGAAGCCTGTGTTTCAAGACTCCCATGTTTACCCAGATCTGGGCAAAGAACACTGCACTGCCTTTACAAATTTACCTCAGAGGAGAGACTCATTTCCTTGGTTTACACAAGGTTTGGATGGTACATATGGAGAGAAGTATTGCAGGGGACAGGGAGTCTCAGTTTAGCATACAGGGATTTAAAAAAAAACAAAAAACAAAAAACCAACGCAGCCTAAGATGATCCCAATCCTGTTTGCAAATGGGCAGCCTGGTGCCATATGAAACACTCCACCCAACTCAAGGACTGGACACACCCATCCGAGCACTCTGGGTGCCTGGCGTGTGTGTCGGGGCCAGGGCTAGACTAACAGTGCTGTGGGCTTAGTCCTTGCCAGCCCCTCTGTGGCCCTCGGCTCCCCAGCTAAAGCAGGGAGGCCAGGTCCTGCCCCATTTTCTCTAAGGGTTTCAAATCAGAAGAAAGGCGGTCAGTGCTTTGGGAACTGCAAAGCTCTTAACAACTAGAGTACCTATTCATGTAGTCCCTGCTACCCTAGAGACCTTGACCGATGGTCAGCCTTCTGCAAAACTGTGATGGAGGCAGCGTTTGGCTGAAGGTGTCGTCACACCTGGCCCTGACCACCTC